TTTCGTCGTGTCACTCGAAATGTTGCATATTCATTTCGGATGCATAGGCCGCGGAGGCAGTACCGATGTACATTATTTCCGTCCCTTCTCGAACAGCATGAATGATCGTTTTTCGGGGGCCTCATATTCAAACTCGATTCCATCTTCGGCTTGTTTTTCTTTGGATCATCACGATTGTCTTCGATGAGTTGCCCGACGACGCCGGCGGCTCTCGACGACGACGGAAAGTCAATAAGGGAAAAGGCCGTCGACGATGCAAAGATGCGAAATCGGAGAGTTCTAGAGCGATCCTGATTCCGAGAGAGTCGATTATTCAATGAAAATCCTCCTTCCCGTGCTGCATCGAAAATACTCATCCTAGAATCTCTTGGCCCTGACTATGATAATCTCGCATGTGTTATCCTGCTTCGACTCTACGCTCCGCGGAACGGGGTCGCCCGAAGCACGACGCAGAATATTTTCTTCCATTGAAAAGTCGTTAGTTCCCGAGGTTGTCCCGAGGGCCTTGGAGCTGTTTCGAATCGTGGAGCAACGTCGCGCTTTTTTCGGCGCCGGTTACCAACGATGCTGGTGTCATCGGTGACGATATCGATCCGTGCTCGTTTGCTCCATGGATTTACACGGGACCGCTCATCCGTAATCCCAGCTTCTCGAATGCTGCGGCGCCATCGGAAGAATCGGTCCGGACATTCATTGAGGTTCCTCCCGAAGAGTGTCGAGTTCCATGCGAGATGACTGACTCCGAATTTCCCAGCTAGTCCTCAAGGCTTACGCTATCGGCATGGTAGAACATAACTCATTTTCCCCATTCGCTCGGAGAGTGCCACAATGTTCTAGGGAATGTTGCATTGCTGTTTCCTCGGAGTGATTGAGACGACTCCCATAGCTGGAACCTCCTGGAGGTTACGGGGAGTGAGCCGAGCTTCCTAGGGACTGAAAGCTGAACAGTGTCTCCGGTGGGCTCGTTAATCTCTCTCCATTGCTGATGGCCCTCTAGGAAATCCCTGAAGTGTCAGTTCCTCTTTCTTACATACAAAAAAAGGGTAAACCCTGGGGAGGTTTTTAGGAGCAGTTGATCGTTCCCGTCGTTCCGTGTGTCGGCGAAGTCGTAAATGTTTCTGCAGGAAACTAAACGTTCGTATCTCTCGATCGTCCCATGGAGCGGCGAAAGTCATCTGCCAGCAATAAACTATCGACTCGATAAGACATACCGCCGGCGAGTCCGTCGTGCCGCAGACATCCTAAGACGTTTCGCACAACTCCGCAGCAGCACCCCGCAACACCGTTCATGAGCGTCCACGTAGGGAGAAACACGCCTCCTTTCGGCCACATAAATCGGGGATTTCCGCTCACTCAGAAATCCCATTCGATGCAAGAAGCTGTGAACTTGTCTTCGATGACCGGAATCCAGAGTGAATTCTAACATCCTCTCATGGCGATTGGATATGACGAAATGTGATTAGTTCCGACAGCGGGTCTCTCCCATGCACAGGAACGCCACCGGAGGTGACTTCAGCCCGGGGCGACAAGCTCACTTCTTTATGCTTGAGAGTCTCTTGGGAGAAAATCAAAAAGAGCATTTTCTTGGGAGCTTCGCGCTTTCCGAAAATAAGTAGTAGAATCGCGATTCGCTCGCAGCTTCTATTTGGATCGATGTACCCGCCCGGAGCTCGCTTATCACGGAGGCCATTCCTATCTTCATGGAAATTACTAACTTCCCATTCATGAGAGCCGACTTGATGCGCTGAAGGACTTAGTGGGTCGCGAAACTGAGCACTGGAATTTCAGCACAGCATCCGATTCTCCTGACTCAATCGGGTCGTTTTCTGTACCAGTGAGCCCAACGTGTTTTCCGCAAGATGCCCTCCGAGCAGCACTCGCCATCATCAAGTAAACAGTCGAGCCCGCTCCTCCTGCCGGCGACCTCTTTTTCTGTTCCTTAAGCGTCGAGGATGATGCACTCCTCGCTCATTGATCGCGGATCCGTACCGTCGATGAGAATCCGATGGCAGGCCCGCAGCCAGGCTAGAAATCTGAGGCTATGGCCTCACGTTTTTTCGGAGGGGTGGAATTAGCCTTATGGATAGCCTCAGAAGTTTCCGGAATGCGGTTCCGTCGAAAACCGTTTGTGGAGCAATAACAGCTCCCTGCTAGATCTACGCTATTCATCTCCGTCATTCTCGCTTGCTTCCACGCTCTCGCTCTCTAGCCAACGTGCGCGTGAATCGCTGCCAGATACAATTGGATTTAGTTCGTCAACAACAAAGTCCACTTTTCTTTGTAGGTATTTCATACGTTGAGATGTGATACTCCTAATATGAGACATGATGCTCGAAAATGAGTTGTAGCGTCCGCACGACGAAAAATGCCGTTTTCACTCGAGAGTTGAGGCTAGCCTCAGTTCACCGGATGAGACTGAGCCTCATAGAGAAATATGTCTGACTACGGGCCTGTCTGATGACGTTTGCCTCCTTCAAGAGAAGATGAGATCGAGGAAATTAAAAGACAACTTGAGTCCACATCAGAGCTCCCAGGGTTCTCCGCAAGATCGAATTCTGATTCGATCAGAGTTACTTTAATGAATGGAAGGTATCTCCCCCCCCCCTCCCCTCTCGAAAATATGTTCCATTCGACAGGCAACAACTCGACGTTTCCAATATCCAAACGTCTGAGACTGCGCGGGAAGACAGATTTCTATTCAAAATCCATTGGCATCGCCTGTAGCCTGTCAATGTCATGACAGCTTACGGGCCACGGGGCAGATTCGACTCGTATACTGAGGGCAATCCCCGGGAGAACTTTTCCCGGTCCACTTCGGCGATAGACGTCGGTCGCCCGTCTCTCGAATGCGAATTTCCTCGGCAGGAGAGCCGAGCGGCAACATCACGACGCGTGAAAAACTCGACCTCGTCTTCCATTCGTCAATCTTGCTGCTCGAGTTTCCTCCTAATTTAATCGCTATTTCCATACATTCTATTCCCCCAGTAATCGGAAGTGGGAGATTCCGATTCCCAATCCACCGAAAGAACCTTACCGAATCTAGGGTCGGGGAAAATCGCGGTTAGCGTGAGCGTATGCTGACCGCCTGAACTCTCGGGCGCACTCACCCAACTGGATGTATGGGACAGAAGCTCGTATTAATGTTCCACGGGAAACCGATCTCGAATCCAGAACAGGTACCCAATCGGATGAGCTAGGTGTCGCAAGAATCGAGCCAAATCATCTAGTTCGCGGTGTGCCGTTCTGCGGTAGATATTTCTCGATCAGATCGAGTCAATGTCCTCGATCGATTTCAATCCGGATATCGGAATGAGCTCCAGAACCAAACAGAGTCCGAGCGGCTTCGAGAGGCTATAAGATGGAGACCTTAGATTGGAACATTAATGGAGTATTACCGACTTCTCGGCCCAGTTTGATAGCGCTCGGATGATATGTGAGCATAAATAGATGATAATTGATCGCTTAAGCTCAGAGCCCAAGATTTTTCCCGGTCCGGACAACCCCGTTTTACTGCTGACGTTTCCCCAGCGGTGTAGACGAAGGAATGGCAGCTGGACTTCAGCAGAGCAACACGCCGCTCGATGAAGAAGTCCGTCCCCCTTCCCGAGTCCCTACGCGCTCTCCACGGTGCGTTTATATATTATGAAAAAAGTCACTGTCTGTGTCAATTGAAGGGCTCTGTGTCTTCCTCCCCATCCAGGTTCGGATCCGAGCTCTCAGATGACTCCGGCGGAGTTGAGTATGGAAGAGGGATCCACTCAGCCTCGGTACTCGAATTTCCGGAGTGCTCGGAGCACACAGACCTGATGGACCCGTCTCGAGGTCTTTTGTAGATGCCTGATCGAATGAAGGTCTCTCCATTTGTCAAGGAAGAAATGTCAGGCAATGTCAGTCTTGTGATCTTGGTTTAGTTTGGGCTATGACTTTTAGCCCAGTCATGCATTGATGCATATACATACATAGGTGTCTCATTCCACGGCGAGCGCTGGAAATACCTTGTTCGGAGAGGGGCGAGGAATATACGATTCATACTGACGTGGCTCTACGGGAGGGTTTGGAATTCGCCCCGATCGGGAACACTGGATATCGATCGAATGCCATGCTCAGATAGGAACTTGAACCTTCTATTCTGAAGAGTTCTAGATAACGGCTGGCGACCAGGCGTCATCATGTAGAACAGGTGCGGCGACCGATCTCGAACGTCGCGAGCCCTCGGGTCCGGAGGAGTCCCATTCCATCTCTCGCCCCGATACAGATCATGGAGCGGTAGCGGGAAGGGTTGTCTTCTTTCATCTCGTCATTTGCCACAGAAGGGCTTTCACTTGTCAAAAGTTGACCTCCAGTGCTTCATGGTTCGGCAATCCTTTCTCTCGGGGGATTATCAGCGCTCGCTTGTGCTCATCGGTACTCGGTCGTTTATCAGAGAGGGCTCGCGAGGTCACGGAAATACGAGACGACCACTGTCGCACCGAAATTTTCGAGACACATTGTCCCGAAATTTCGGGAGCTGGTAATTGAGCGAATATGAGAAGAACTCTATATCCGAGCTCCACGAAGGAGCGGCCATGGGAGCGGGTCCGGGAAACGGGTTATGAATGAAGATAGAGTCAAACGGGGATTAGAGTCGAGCCCGCGCTTCCGGCGTCGGTAAAAAATGCCGCAAGCTCCTTATCCGCGGAATACCTTGATTTCGTCCTCTCGTTCCCATGCGGCCCATCGTGCACCTAAGGTCAACTCAGCCATGCGCCGAATCAGAGAAGAATTTTAAACGCCGTTCATGCTCGGATAAGATAGACGATTTAGGGTCGATTGGCTGATCGGAGACAGGATTCCTCGCTTCACAATTCGCGATCTCTTCATTTCTCACTCTTGGGAAACCTCGATCAATCCGGAGAAGCCCATCGCTTCTGCCGGTCGCGGCTGATATTGCGCAGATGTACAGAGCGGAACGATCAAATCGGCGGAATACTCGGCATGGGATTCATCTGAATCGAATAACGATGTCTCGTCGAGAACAAAAAATCCAGGAATACCAAGAGAAATTGCACCACGCGCAGACCGCATTCAAAGAAGACGTTGAGAAGAACGAATGTCCCAGGGAAGACATCAGCAGTTTTGAATTCTTGACCTTCCTGCAGAAAGGCGGTTTCGGTGAAGTTTTCAAAGCTAAGAAAGGTGACACGATATATGCAATAAAACGACTGAGCAAGAGCGATTTCCACACGAAACAATACCAGGACGATGTGATCCGGGAGAAGAAGTATCTCTACGCCTTAAAGAATGAGTTCGTCGTGAAGCTTCACTCGACAGCCAAAACCGCCGAGAGCCTCTTTCTCATCATGGATTTCGCGCCCTATGGCGATTTGTTCGGCCTGGTGGAGATGCACCCGCTACCAGAAGCCATGGGTAAAAGAGTCATCTACCAAATAGTTCTAGGACTCGAGTATGTGCACGCATGCAATATAATGTGGAGAGATCTGAAGATGGAGAACGTCTTGATCTTCGAAAACCTCCGTGTGAAGCTGGCTGACTTTGGCTTCGCTGTCCTGGTGGACGGAATGAGACATGAAGCGTGCGGTAGTGCCGACTACTGGGCGCCGGAAATCTACAAGAACGAGCTGTTCAACGAGGCTGTGGATTGGTGGGCTCTGGGAGTGGTGATCTGCGCCATCCTGACTAGACAGCATCCATTCGGCGAGTTCGACGTGCCAGAGGAGGTTCAGGGGAGGAACGTTCTGACTAATGAAATCCAGAATATCACCGATGCCGCCGTCTCCGCTGATGCAAAGGATCTCGTTAAAATGCTGCTTGTGAAAGACCCCAGACGACGAGCGGGAGTCCTGAAAGAAGGAATAGATGATGTTCGGCTCCACGCTTGGTTCAGAGATATTGATTTCTATGAAATGGTGTTCGAGCCCCAACAATGGCCACTCGACTCTTCTCAGAAAATAGACGGGAATCCAATAGAGCAACACCCGTTGACCAACTCGAAGCCTGACGATCAAGATCCTTCAAGAGAAGAATTCGATGAATTCTGAGTCAGTATGTGGACAGTACGATCAATTGTATGATGCTCCGGAAAGCTCCTCGAGATTGAACAAGCTTCCACAACACCGAGGACGACAAAGCAGTCAATCCAGAGGCTCTATACCGTGTGTCACCTGAAAAATCGTCGATCTGTGGAAAAATCACAAAGGAGTCGGAAATTCATAAAATTGTTATAGAGAGTCGGACCGGGCTTGTGTTCCTCCCCGACCTCCTCTTCGAGGAGCGGGGCGTAGCAGAACTTTTCTTTTCTCAGGATCGGCGCCGGACGATATGGGAGCTCTCTCTGCCCCCGGAGTTGCGGCCGTTATAGTTCGACGCGTACCTGCCACCAGCGTTCATCGAATCGGTGGGCATCTGCGAGCACAGGAAATTTCGGCAAAACTCGCAGCTCTTTATCACCACCTAGATCTGATATTCTCGCGGAGCTGTATAGAAATCGTGATCGTCTAGTATCGACTCCATCTGTCGAACGTGCTGATGTCAGAGGGAGGAAAGTTCCGTCTCTACTATTCGCACGCATCGGATACATGTAATCTACGCGAGAATTATCCTACACAGAGAGCCGGAAATCCTCAGATCAAGTAGCGACTGGGAACGTGCTATCTCAGCACCTACGATTCGAGCAATTTCATCCGCGAAGAGACCCGTGCTAGAGTCACCTGCGATTCTTGAGTGAATTTCTGTAGACTCCTGCGCGACGACAAATCCTCGCGAGTCGATGCTTATCCTCAAAATTCGCGGGCGCTCTGAACTACCTAAAACCGACATTAAAGTGGTCGCTTATTTCTTCATCATTTTTTTTTCATCGCGCGATAAGCCTCGCCGACGATTGTTTCGGAAAGATTTTTTTGGAAATTTCTGGAGTCGTGTCCAGATTCAAAGAGCGGTGTATACTGTCGATTCCAGGAATGCTCTGAGGGCGAGGCGCCTATGGCTCCGGAGGAAGGCGGGGGAGAATTGGGACCTCAGGGCGATCTCCTCACACTTTGGACGGGTGGGAAGTGTCTACTTTAGTGTGAAAACGCTCGGATGGGTATTGGACAATCTTCTCCGAGATTTATTCACATTCATTCCGGCAATTAAAGTATCGTATGTAACAACTGTGTATAAAAAACGCGGTCCATACGCGTGTGTGCCTGTCGGAGCGCTCCAGAATCATGAAGAATGCTCCCATAATCATGAAGTTCCGTCACCCGCTGATCGATGTGTCCCTTGAATGGCGACGATGGCTGACTGAGAGCCGTGTCGATCGCAAAGAGGTGAACATCCCACGAAAGTCACAAAAGAGAGTGTACCCGTAGCCCGTCGATGCCCGATACAGGTGATCGGGATTTCGGCTCCAAGATCCGATGAATTTGGACAGTCCCGGGTTGCATACATAGGTATTTTCTCCGATGCCATTGCAGATTTCTGACATTGATGATTTCTTGCCCCTCGATCCGCGCGGGACTAAGTCACCTCATGAGAAGATGTGGATAGATTCACAGGTTGTGGATACAGAGTGGATAGATTCACAGGTTCAATCGCGCTTCCAATGTCCTCGAGGTTTCTTATTCATGCATTCATCCGAGATCCAAATCCAACAGCTCGATTGCATTCTTCCGACAAATCTTGTGCGCTCTATGTGCGCCTTCTGGACCGTGAAGAGGAGGGGAACCGTTCCTAGAAAGCTATAAAAATACATGCCCGATCATGAGGCACCGGGCGTGAATCGATGGACCGATCCCTCTTCCTCGTCGGAGCGCGTGAGGCTTATAGTAGGGATATTTCAGGTATGTTCCATAGCTATCGCGGGTCTCGTGTCAAAATACTTTCTGGTCGATAGGAAGGAACGAATAACGAGAAAGTACCGTGGGCATATAATCGTTAAGATGATCTTAGAAAACTCGCGATCGTTTTATACACTCACATCAAGGGATGCAGGATAAAATTCATCAGGTATAAAGACCGAGAGGAGCGGTTCATGACCGTTTCCAAAGTCTTCGGAAGTTTGCTCGCGGAACTCGCGGCTCTCGAAACATAGGCGGTCAATCCCCGAAACCCGGGTTTTGTCATGACAAGGGCTACATCGAGTCCGACTTACAAACAGAGGGGAAACCAGATGAATAAGAAATCCTACCAAGCACTGGATCTTGTTGTGAGGCTATCTCAGACATACGAGAATCGTTTCGAAAATTTCAGGACGATCACCACTCAATGAATTCCCTCGAATTCAAAATAAGATATCATATACCTGCCAATTCTTACACCTGACATCGAGACGATCCATGCGGGCCTGCCCCGAGAACTCCTAGACCTCGCATTTCGTGTACTCGATTTTTAGTCGAAGAATTAGGATCGAGTTCCCACGTTTTCCGCATCTCGATCGCGGATCACGTCATCAACACATATGGACACAGTTTACAGAGCCTTCGCTCCTTCGTATCGGCGACTGCTACCCGAAAACCGTCATAAGTCTCAGGCGGATCGCGTGCGCGGGAGGACCAGACGCGGCGATGTCGACCCGGAACCCGGTTTAGTTTATTTCGATGGTTCTCACGGTCGGTACGGTCGACGGCAGCCTCGAATCCTCAATCGTGCTCCGGCGCGAGTTGAATCGGCTCTGTCTCCTACAGAAACAGGCGGCTCGGATCTCTTTGAACTCTTTGCGAAAATTGTCGTTCAGATATCCGTATAGGAAAGGATTCGAGCAGGCTGAACTCATCCCACACATGTGACAGCAGGCGAACAGAACCCTGTAAGCGAAATAGACGGGATGAGACGCGGTCTTTGATGTTGGGACTGGCGCCCGCATTTCCACAGAGGTTTGAAAGCGACCCAACGGCAGCGATTGATTTTGACACACTGACGGAGCTAAGTGACATAAGTCGGGGAACGTCGGCGAATCTGCTAAATTCTGCACTCTCATTCGACCTCCGGGACATGAGAGAAAAATACCACGCCGAGAACGCTGCGGAATCCCGTCGGAGGGAGGACCCATGATTTCTTTTCGGCGGGGAGCTATCCATTCAAAACGCATGAGACTGAAAACACCCTGGGGGGTCATTGTCGGCTTCCTCGGTGATTCGCCTTCAGTGATTCCCAGAGAATGTTTGGAATTGGAAGGGATCCCATCTGGGTGATCACAGACGCGTTAAGTCCCGCTGAACGACGACTTATTGCTCCAAAGCGGCAGTAATCCTCGGAATGGAAGATTCTCCGATTTTTCAGTACCGCTTCAGTTCTACCGAAGAGACCTTTCAGTAACGATTCAATCCAACCGTCAGCTCGGAATGTCGCTGAGCCGGCGGTGACCTCGACGCCCAACTCAGCTTACCTGGTCGGTGCGAATGCATGAAAAATAGTCCGGGACAACAAAGCGGACACGGAAAAACACATATTGGGATATATCCTCCTTCGACGCTGCCTGTCCTGCGAGCCCATGCTCACTCCAGATCCCGCGGGGTTCTTTTCCCAAACCTCGGAAGATTTATTCCTCCCGAGAGTCAATTAGATCAAGGCAAGAAAACGAAGGTCGGGACAGTGAGGGCGAATAGTCCTGACCGGTCACCGAGGCACGGGATCGACCATAAGACCAATAGAAGCGAAGATCAACAGCGTCCAGTCTTGGCTTCCGTATGGAGACAAGTCCGCTCGAGCATAGGATCTGACCGGGGGCGGTACGTGTGTGGATAACATGGTCGTCGTAAAAATTGCCTCATCCATCAATCGAGTCATCTTTTCTTTGAACGTACCAGCGACCGAGGGTTCATTCAGTAATTCTTTCGATTACCGAGCGAACCTTTTCCTGACAATTCCCCATTCAGTGCGTGAGTGAATGTAAAGCGGGGGTCACTCACCAACAGTTAGCGTGGGAGACGAAGCCCAGGCATTCAGCGTCAGGGAAGTCTGAGCATATTGTACCAACTTCGTGGAAAGTATACAATGCATCGCAGCGACGGGGCAACGAAAATCAGGCGAGTCCCTGTGTCGAGTCGATTCTTTCATTTTCGAAACGGGGATCGGTCGCATTTCGGACGGAGCACGCTACGTTTACACGAGTTTCGGCTCTGGAAGAACCCTTCGAATGAACTCAGCGTGCAAGAAATCAGGAAAAACTCCTTCCCACCAAGCCAGTGAACGGAGCAGGCCCACTCGCAGGAGCCTCGTTGTGTTCGATCGGGATATTCCCTGCCCTCTTGAAATAATTCCACCAGGCTCACGAACCAAACGTGACTAGGAGAGGAATAAATCCGACCGGAACCAAATGATTGGAAATTGTTCGGAAGATACCATCCTCGAGATAGAAAAGAGAATTTAAGAGTTATTGTTCCGTCGTTATCTTAATTTCCCTCATCTTCCTCATCTTCAGTTCGTAATCGGACAATTCCGACTCGACCTGTCAGTTTTCGGAACCAGCAGGAAGAGAGTCATCCGCCTTTGGTGGTCTTGACCAATGCGACAATCGAGTCGCACGACCATTCTACGTTGACTTGACGCTCCTCGTCGTCTGGCGTGTCCCTAATATAACATGGAACCGGAAACGCCACTGAGACAACGGCTTCCGGCGGCGGCGGGCTGCCAAGACGGGTCGAGACGTTGTCGCTGATGCACATGCAGTCACATCCACAACCGTTACTGATGCGACTACTGCTTTTCCTATCAGCATAAGACCGAGCGACGCACCGAAATCCAGCCGGACCGGACCCATGTGAATGCTGAGTTACGTTCATGCTCGTGCGTGCTCGCTCAACTTCAAGGTTTGTTGCTCGCAGCGGCCAGTTCGGCTCACTGCTTAGACATTCGGAGTAATGGGCTGTCGGCGGCGACCGCCGTCGTTGTCGTCGTAGGAATCCGCCTGCCATGTCAAATGATGAACAGCGTTCCGAGAGAGTCTTTGGACCGGGCCCAATTAATGGCAAACGATCGATCATGAACGCCACCCTCGTTCTGCCTCGGCCGCTTTGCCTGGTTGCCCTCCACAGGCAAAACCACCGCAGGAAGAAGGATAGGACCCGTCTACAGATTCACGGAACTTTCCCACCGCTGCCATGCCACGCCATTCCCGCGCACTCCTACCGGTCCGTAGCCTGACCAGCCTTCGACTGATTTCAAGAGAGAATGGCTAATCGCACAACTCTGGGCGACAGCGACGCCGACGTTTGCGGAATCCCTGGGAATGATCCCGACCGTCGCTATCGCTCGGATAGTCTCTCGATATTTCGCAATCGTCTTCAATCGAACAATCTTGGAGCGATATCGTCGCCGCAGAAGTGGTCGTATTTACGCACGTACGTTCGTATATCTAGACGGACGTACGTACATATGGCGCTAATTGAATCTGTATACAAATCAAAGAAACGACCAAAGCCGGTCGCTGTGTATGTACAGCCCGAAGACTCAATACACAAGTGAACGTCGGTCGTCGTCGTCCACGCCTAATCCGTGTTCATCATTCTCTTTCGCTTCGTCTACCAATACCGATGATTGGAGCGTTTCTCTCCCAAAGAGGAAACATCATGTTGTCGGACGGCTGCGGACACACTCGGATGCTTACGAGTGAATACACGGGAACATACTCGTCTCTTTTGCACGTCGTAGATCTTGCCGCGCGGTCTGGCGTACACGACGACGGCGAGCGAGTCGGTACAAGGAGCAATCGGTCAGGTCGAGTCAGGCCTTGTGTTGTCTAGGTCCAAAGCGATGACAAACACATCAAAACCTACAACACAGAACAGGAACAAAGAGAAAAGCGATGGGATCTGCAAACATTTATACGGTCCTTCCCTGATACAGCGGGACGACTGTGCATACGTCGAGCACAAGGAGAAGCGAGAGCTCCATGTCGACACAGAGTTTTGAAACGAACTCCAATTTCCTTTATCGAGCTCCAATGCGGTCGTATCGATACTTAATTTCCCTGTCGTCGGGGAGAATTTATCGCAAACTTGGGCTTTCGACGATGTCTTGTTGGTCTTTCCCTCTAGATAGTTCCTGAGGAGCGCCCAGGAAAACTTCGTCGGCAGTTGCGTCTCAAATGGAAAATGGCCGTGTCTCGGTGGACGAGGTTCCTCTATCGTTCGTAGGATAGTCATCCATTGAGCGTCATAGACCGTGGGCTCGCAACGAGGTCCGGAACTGTCCTCCCCAAGGGAGCGAGCGGAGTGACGTTCAGGCCTGGGCACGAGATTGATGCGACGCGTTTCCGAGTGTATCATGAGCATTACTCAGAATTAGTCGCTCGATTCGATGGCGACGGCGGAACCCCTTCATCCATGTCTCGATTCTTCCACCGAAACAACATGGAAGCCCCCGCAGAGCAGTACATATGAAAATAATGGGAGTTGAATAATGACTCGACCATGGGTGCACGCGCAATCGAAGGCTTAGGAGTAGCGAAGTCTCCCTCGCCCCATCTTTCACTTCCGCTGCAAGCTGAGCTTCGCTTCGAAATGATTCACCGAAATTGAGCATTGCTTCCGTTCACGCGGGACCAAGAACCGGAATGGCCCTTTTTCCTCGGGGAACGATCCGCGAACCTGTTCGTCTCCCCGTCCCAGCTCCGGTTCCAGCAGAAAGGATGTCGATGCCCGAAACCGGAGGGAAAACTCGGAGCACGTGCTCCGCTCGGCTAGAGCGATGACGTGCCTTCTTAGTATGCGTCGTTTGATGAGCTGATGAGGTGAACCAATTCCTCAGATTCTCACTGAGGGAACCTTCGTAACTAGGGAACGCACGCCGGCGTTGTTATAAGTCATGACGGACCGTGGGCGCCATGCTTGTCCAAAATCGGCATGTGCGCTGATGAAGGCGCATATTCATTGCCTACGTCACTTATATATGGAAATCCTAATGAGGGCTCTGCTCCCCATCATATTCTCAATCAGGAAAAATCGATCACTCTGCTTGCCTGAAGGAGTTGTCCATCTCGCTGCCCATGTAGTCGACGTAAGCGTTCAGCACGTTGAGTGGTAACCAGCTCAAGATGAAGATGACCGTTATCGAGATGAGAAGCTTATTAGTTCGCTGGACACGTTGTCGTTCTCGTAAGAGCTTCTCTTCGAGCTGCGATCCTTTCGCTACCATGCGGTCTCGTAGTTTGCGGCAAATCGATGCGTAGGCTACCGATACGATGAGAATGGGCAGCATGTATTGGAAAACCATGGTGAACAATGAATAGAAGAACCTGAAAAACACGAGAGAACGAGCCTTCAAAACGACAGTCGCTCATCTCCCTTCGCAGGGACCCTATTCGGTACCAGGATGATGGGATTTTTCGTCGGGAGTAGCGGAAAGGCAACTTCTGTTTTTCAGGCTGTATTCCTCCTCCGAACAATATTCCATCCCCATTACTCTTGAGCGTCGACGAAGAAAAGGAATCTGCTCCCGCGAGAAATAGAATAATAGAAGGGACGAACATCGATGAGCGAATCAAGTGGGTTCTCTTCTTTTCCTGGCGAGCAATCATTACAAAGCCCCATAGAAGGCTATTCTACGCGCAGAACGCAATGCGCCTCCATACTGTGTTTCAACCTGTCCCCTGAGGTCATCTTCGAGCGTTTAGGCTGTTTACCCGTAGACGACAGTCATATGAGAATGTTATCGATACGGCACCGGCGATCGTATGGATGCATCCTATTGCCATCCCAAAGAGACTTCCTCGAACTGACTCCCATGCCCCTTGGAAAACGATGTTCTGTCTCAATCTCGAACTGTTAGCGATCTCTATGAACCATCGCCAGACGGCGATCAGAAACAATTGCAGTAGCGGGGCGTGTCGCACGATTGCCCGGGCTTGGAGAAGTTCCTCAATCTTCCTCGATTTTTCCGCGAGGAAAATCGTCCAGCGCATTCCTCTACAAGAGCTCCATAATTCCACGATGAGCTCGGAGTCTCCCCAGAGAGGGATCGTGGCCGTGTCTCCGACTCCACAATTTCCGTGCGGCTCCGAATTCGGCTGCCGACTACCAGGAAACCTTTCCATGATCCCAATAATCCTCGGATGTCTCGAGTACTTTCGGGATATTGATGCGGGCAATGTTCGCTCTGACGAGTCGTTCCACAGTGAAGTCCGGGCACGACCCCTCGTCTTTTGTGGCTGGAGACAACGGGTCGGCCCGACACGGTCACCGGCCGGCATCGGGCGAATATGTTGCGGTGAAAAATCTCGATGAGCGTCACTAAAGTCCTGAATCCGACTTCTCGGTGATGGCTGCGGCAGACCCGAGCCCCGCCGCGAAGTGGACCGAGGAGGCATAGAGTGGAGTCGAATCCGTTTTCTACCTTGCGACCAACGCATCAAGGTACTTTTTCCTTGTCGTTCTCATGGATTCCTCTGCTGCGAGATATTCGGTCTCTCTTCAGATGAGAATGCTCGAGGCAGTTCCCTGCGAGCTTTAGCAAATATTGCGGCCGAATCCACTCGGTGACGCTTAGATGCGTTTCGCGGCTTCATATTACTTTCACGTCACCACACTCCGAGTAATGGACCAACAGCTCTGCATAAATTCCTCTGCAGATGTCTCGGCAAGGAGAGTAGCTCATTGGACGGCAAGACGCTTGCTCGGCTGCGCCCCTTGCTCCAAACCGGGCTGGGCGAAGAGGATTCCTCCTGCGCCGTGTCAGCTTGTTTCAAACTTAATGCACGTTTAAAACTATGCAGATGATTCCTCACTTGGAGAATATCGGTGTGGATTGATCCAAGGATTGGGAGGAACATTCGAAAGCCCGGCCGGACGTCGAGCGAGCACCAGCGATCCTTCGGAGTCCTTGAGTAAGATTAGGGCCCGTCGACTACATCCTGCGACTTGAGTAGAGAGAAAATCCCTCGGAATCCAAAATGGGGGCTCGAGGTGCGGAAAGCGAATGTTTTCAATACCTGCCAGCCTGATCGCAGGCAAAGAGATCTTCCTGTCACTCACACGCTTCTATTTTACCACTGCCAGCCCTTGACTACCTCGGCTGTTCCCAGTCAGAAATTAAGAAGCCGGATGTTCTGCCCCTCAATCGGGCTCACGTTGATCTTTGGCAAACTCAAATCTCATCAGGTTCCGCTGCGCTGGGAGAAAAAGATGCGGAATCGATAATCGCCATCATGCGGATCCTATTTCCGAAGGTTCAAACATGAAAGCCAAAATCGTAGAAGCCAGAATTCGCATAAGCCGGGTTGGAGCGTCGCGTCGCCCAGTCGGCGCCTCCCAATGCGCAACGAAGCTCTTGTATCTTTCATTGCGAGCGAGCCTGCGGTTTTGATTTTGGAACGATAAACGCGCACGCGCGAGTTGTCGCTCTAGTGATGTACTGGGTTTTCAGCGGAGACGGAACGTCGCTCAGAGAGTGGCCGCTGCAGGTTTCAGCTGATAACAAAGGCTGTGTCGTTGCATGAGCTGTTGTGTTGTGTGAATATCATCTGAGTGATGAGTGTGAGCTCGGTGGAACGTTGAAGAATGAGCCACGAGCAGAATAGAAAGTAGTCAGTAGATCAGGGTTCTATAACCGCGAATCTTTGTAGTCTTCCCGGACAGGTTGATCTCGGATCCCAGTCGAGATTGCGGTTCCCGGTCTCGACGTCTCGTGTCGAAGACAAGGTCTCTCGGAGGAAACTCGACAACTTCCGAGTCGAGCTCGAGGGATGTTACTTTTGGCCTTGAGCAGCACAGGATAGCCCGCAATCATTATAAGGTTCCGAGACAGTCCCCGAAGATTTAGGGACAGTATCGCGATGCACACGTGACAAGTTTCTTCTTGAGTGATGTTGTTCGACGCGTTGTCTGTGGGGCTACGCATTGTTGTCATTGGGTTTTCCTTCCCTCGAATCCGCTGTAGCACCGGCCTATGAGAATTCTGGCTTTTGCGATACTGGCTTCTGAGATGGTACCTTCCTAGAACCGCTAGATGGCTTCCTAGGTGGAGCCGCAGCTCCTGCCAGAGACGGATTCTGGGCACCCTCCCCATCGGTTTCCGTCGTAGATATATGCCTCTGATGTTTGGGGATAATTATTGTGCTCCCGCTAGCCACCATGAGAAGGTCTGAACTACATACTCGAGGAGAACAGACCCTGGATAATAGGATTAGAGCGGAAAACTCGTTCTTGATTATGCAGTGCCATTCCTGGCCCCGTCGGAAAGTCGGGAGAGGACAACACGTCGTTCTTTCGAAGAACATTAGTGGAGTCTGGATTTGGAGAGACATCGCAGTCGAATTCTTGGAGCTCGGCCCTCGAGGGCGACTCCGCTGAACATCGCCAATCTTGCGCTGAAAACTGCGAAATCGATGCTTTCCGCGGCGAGTTGCGATTTTAAGGTCTATGATGTGATCTCAGACTGTGATATTGACACACTCGGCTTCCAGACGCGAACGATGAGTGACTTTCGCATATGTCAATAATCTTAAACGTTTGTGACCGAATCGCGCGCCTTCGCGCTCTCCCTCTGATAAAGGCGTCGGGATAAACTTCGATGCGCAGAGCGCAGTACATCTCCATTGTGAGAGGAAGCAGAGTCTATTCCTTTCACATGCCTCCGAACTTGCCCTTTTGTGTCCAGCATGTTTCCATCAAGATTCAGACGAGAAACTATACGATCGCTCAGCCCCGTAGATTCCTAGAATCAACAGCATAAGTTGAAGCCTGCACTGATAGAGGGGAGGGTCAACAGCCGTCGAGAAAAACCAGCTTCCGAGGAAGCTTCAGTTAGCATATACCGGAAAAGATACGAGAGGCTCGCGGTTCTGGTTTCAGGGTTGAACATCCTCTCGGGAGTTTTTTACCTATTCCCTCCAATCATTGCGATACTCCTTCAGCCGTGCTCGCCACCACGCCGCCCCGGGATTCAGGAAAGTCCGCTGCAAAGAGCTCGGCGCGTAGGCGTAGAAGCGAAAGACGCAGTCGAGAAGAAGCTGAAGGAGGGGGAGATCGAATGCGCATCATGTAATAACGAAATCAGTTCGAGTTTTTGTGAAGCACCTCATCCCACGCATGGCTTATAGCGATCTCATTAGTTCGCTCCGTGAAAATGCTGAGCGCCGGCCCCAGACCCAGAGGAGTTCTAATGTTCATTTTCGCAACTCGAGTGACTCTCGATGTATCGAACGGCTTCACGAAACAGTCGGGTAATTTTTGAGGGGCCCCGAGGTTTCCTGAGAGTCATTAAAAATGGTGAACGGAGCGTTGCTCAGCCCGTCCGCTTCGCTTCTCCCTCTGCTTCACCACGGTTCCACGAAATTGACCACACAAGAGCTTTCCCTCCAGACCGGAAAAGAATTTGCTTGATGGACAGAAACGAGCAGCAATGCACTGACGCGATTGAATGGGTGTCTGAAGATGATCAATTGGGCGTTGAAGGTGTCCGCGGAAAAAAAAACACTGCGGGGTTGAATGCCGATGTTGAGTCGCTGGAAACTCCACCCATTCCATCCACGGATCTGCTCTCTGATTATATGCATGTACAAGCCCCTCCAGGTACCTGTCAGATCAATGGAGCGCAGGTAACGAGGTTCGCACTCGAGTAGCGAGTTGCTCAGCCAGAGTAAGCCCCGGGCGAACAGGGGACTTAATTTTTGATTACTCTCTCATTTAATATCTGATCCGATTATTACTCGCTCCGGAGCGTAAAGTTGGTTTTTTTCGGTAATAAATCACTATTGGGAGACAAGTCGGGGTATTCGATGCGGCACGCCCTAAGTAGGACAGGATAATCACTCATTGTTGAGTCTCATTCGCCAATATGGATTTCTAATGGATTCAGTGATTTGAAAAGATCCATTTTTATGATTGAAACAAAAGCTCCGTCGCCTGATGAATGAATTCCGTGGTCACAGTGCTCTGGAAGCCTTCCCGAGTCGCTTTGAATAATTGAATTGTCTGGTCCTCGCTGCAGAGTCTCGGATATCAAGCGTTCTCCGTTTTTTCCGTGGGATCCGAATTCGTGAGAGTTTCCGACTCACTCTAATCGGAAATGCGACCAGAACAGCCGAAAGCCAGGAAGTTGGGAAGCGGGCGAACGATACATTCCTTGCCGCTGATTGAGGTACGAGAGTCGCCTCGAACCACGATCGATTCCGAGTCATGATACGTGTACAAAACGTAGCTAAAAGTACTCACCCTCCGTTTTCGATGGGCCATTGCTCCACACAGAAATCCAGAGATGATATTTGGAAGCCGTACTTGAGCAACAATCGTCGGTGCGGGTTTTCGAGACGCACCATATTTTTGTATAGAAAAAGCGGCATTGCTAACAGCAGAGCGAACATCCAGATATTCGCAACCATCAAGACACCTTTCATGGGATTGAACTGCTCCCTCGTAGGATACACTATAACTTTGTAGCGATCGATCGCGATCGCCATTATGGAAATGGTCGAGACGAATATACTCGTCGCTTCGAGCCCAGAGACAAGTTTACATGTCAGAGTTCCTAACGGCCAATATTTCAACACGATCTCCAACAAAGAAAAGGGCATCGTGAATAGGCACAGTATTAGGTCGCTGATCGCCAAATTGATGATGTAGATGTTCCGTGCGGTTCGCATGGCGGGTTTCCGCGCCACCGCTATGCATACGAGCCCGTTTCCTACGGCACCGGTCGTAATTAGAATTGAGTACGCGACTAGAAGGCAGATCAGCGATGTCTCGTCGATTGCGCGGATGTTGATCTTTTGTGAAAGCTTCTCCATGACTTCGGCCGACGTGTAATTCATCGTAGAGCGCGCGAGCCCCACCGTAGACGTCAGCGGCTCTATCGTCGTTACCGTGGTCACTAATTTCATGGTTGCGACTTGCGCCTGGAAAAGGATAGAAATCGTGGAGGTTAGAATGGCGCTCGTAGATCGTTCTACATTCTGCTCGATCGGTCAGATGAAGTGTGACCAGGGACTCTCAGGGCTCCCCCGGGATTCCCTCGGGGGAATATTCGCCTTCTTCAATTCCCAGCCCGATGTACTCGAGCACAAGTTTGTCACCGTTCCTTCGTCAACCCCCTTGCGGAGCTTCGTCTGAGCTGCGGCACAGCAAAGCTCCGCTCGAACAACGGCTGTGGAACTCAGGGAAAGCGAAATAGGGAAGTTGATTTACGAGAGCGGTAACAGCGGGAACTTATTCTGCTGTTGATTCATTTCCGGGAAACATCTTTCGGTCGACTGCTTTCAGGCTACGACGCGACTATGAGGAGCTACATCGTAGCAGAGCTTGATGCGCTATTCTAGCTCCTCTCGAAGCGCGTCGTCGATTCCGACGGATCTCTTCCGCTGCGAACCTCCACTTGAGCTCACGGAAGAATATTGCGGATTCCTCCGAACATATGAGAATTTCCGCGTCTCGCGTCAGGAGAGTGACGGATCGAGCCTCTCGAAGCCAACATCTGACTCAGTGCACACCGCGCCTTCGGTAAATAGGGCCAGCTTCGCCCGGTTCAAATAGGTTTTCGCAGCCATCAGAGCCGTAGCCGAGCCTCAAGCCGCAGGCTCCTCCTGATCGATGACATTCTGCGTATTACACGTCTCCGACAGATCTTCCTCCTGGCATCCTGAGCGAGCTCCGAATTCCTAGCTTCCCGCCGATTTTCGATGCAAATCTCCCGAGCGAAATGGATCAGGACGCAGGAATTCGAATCGGTAGATAACTTATCCGAGTCCCGGAGACCAAACGACGTCCGGTCACCGATCCCGGAACGACATGCGACCTGTTTCTGAGCGAGTGTCCAGGAGGTGTCGGTACCGCTCCTATCGGAGGCAGGTTCCGTACTATCCTCACACGATCAACTCTGTCGCAGAACGCGAGGTTTCAGCTAATGACATGCGAGCCCTCTGCGTTTAGATGGTATACCACAAGGTTAATAGAGGCAATCGCCATCGAAACGGCCGTGATTACCCAACCTCGACAAACTATCCGAATCACGACGACTTGTCGGAATCGGAATGATAATATTTGTGCGTATCCGAGGTAGGCTCGGGGAGAGAGCTCACTATCCGCTCTCTGGACGAGAAAAAGCGTCGACTGAATAATTACTAAGCACCTCTAGAAAACTCTTGGCGGAGCTGCGCAGCTGTTGACTGGGAGCCGCTCGCGTAGGCGCGAAAGTGAAAAGCACAGAAATTGGATCGGCGTAGGGCGAAAAAGTTCGCGCGGAGTACGCGGAGTAATATTGTAGGAAACGACACGCGGCGACAGGAGGTGGGATCGTGTCCTGAGCCATTCAAGGCCTGTCTGAGCGGTTATGCTAAGGAGTCGGCACTCGCAATCCCAGGTGTACCTACTTCTGCGGCGATCTCAGCTCCTAAGGCGGTCGCTATTTCGACAGACTTGTTTTTTCACTCCTGCTCGGCCACTTTGTCAGACTTCGCTCGCTGCCGGCTCTTCATGTGTTTCTTCACCCACCCACATCACAGGCTGCTCCACAGCGAGAAGCGTGGAATCTCCTCAGAGCATATTATACGTTCTGCGGTTTGAACTGTGGTCTTTTATTGTCGCACTTGATGCCCGTCACTCGCAAACACCGGAAACCCCTATAGGTAGAATGCCGGGGACGAGACGCTCGGGAAATAAAAAAAGGCACGGCCGAGTGCGGTCGCTATAATGCAGCAAGGTCGTCGGGGAGGGACGACATATGCGAAAGTCGACTGGCTAGTGCTTTTAGAAGTTGCAGGAGATTTACTCCTTGGCGGATGGATTTGATGGATCTGGCCTCGTTATATATGCGCATATGTTCGGCTAGTTCGAAGAAGACCAAAAACTCGGACTGCATGTCGATTAGAGATAGACGACTCGCCTCGGCGCTTGCCCATCGATTGTTCCCCCAGACCAACGTGGATTGGGCGTAGTCATCCGCGAAAAGAGAAGAATGATTGCGCCGTGCGACTCTCCGATATCGGAGCGGAAGTGTTCGCCTTCGTCAAAAGGCAAAACTCTGGGAACCATACTTGTGGTCCGAAACCGATGCTCATCAGACGGAATGTTTCACGAATCACGATTGGAAGAAAAGGAGAAAAAAAAGAACGGTTCTTGATTCAGAACGCCGTTGGTCGGTCAGAAGATGACGCGACTGCCTGTTTGTTGACCTGTCGGTCTCGTCGTGACTCGAGCATGCGATGACCACTCAGGTAAACAGGGCCAGATTTCCTCGCAGAAAACAGACCCTTACAAGGATTTAGATCCATACCTTGACCCGTGTCCGGGATCAGTGTCAACAGTCAGTGCCCTAACGGGATGTCGTCTCTGTGCAAACTCCAGCCGCGTGTCCCTTGTGTTCCCATCATTATTTGTCCTGTTCCATCATGTTCTTGGGAAACTTCGTCGGACAAGTTGTCCCGGAGGTTTTTCATTCCCGCGGAATTCATTTGTACGCCTGTTGTTTACCTTTCCGATCTTTCATCGCAATCTGCATGGTTTTACACGGTTCGTTTCCGTGCTCATTTGGGAGCTCGTTGATTAACGGAATATGGTAATGAGCTCCGCGGAATCCTTTCTTGGAGTCTTAGAGTTCAACACTCCCTACGAGACTGGGTATTCGCCTCGAAATTCCGCGGCTGCGGCTGCCTTAATTATTATGCTTCCTGGGTTCACAAATTTAATAATACCGCTTGCTCTAGCCGAGTCGGCTTGTCACAGTCACCATGACTTTGTTAAGCCGTGTGACTGACTGCTCAACGTCGGCTGACTGTTCCTTGGACGAAGTCGCGCTCTGACACGTATTCGACGTTTGCAGCAGACTTTAATGCATTCATCGGAGAACTGCTGATTTCAGAAGCACTCCGTCTCCCACAGCGGGGTTCCAAGTCCAGAGTAAGAGTCTCACTCCGATCGTCCACGGACTCGTTTCTCGAGCGGGTCCCGCCTCGATTCGCCGCCGATTCGAGCAATTTCCCTCCTGTCCGATGTGCCCAGGGCTTCGAAGAATCGAAGGTTCCCGTGTGGACTTCCGCGGTTATCAGCGGCAATCTCCCAAAAAAAAGATCGGATCTCTCCTTCGGCGGCTGCCACTGCTCATAATCACCTTTCTGTTCTTTGCCGAGGAAAACAGCTCCGTGATCGGAGAAATATTTTTTCGGCCAGCCACCGACAGAAACTTCGCTCGACGGAGGCAGACAGGCTATCGAAAGCAGGCGATACGCTTTCAGGAGCAAAAAGAGATCAGTTCCGCGCCTTGTCAGGTCGTCGATACAACCCGTACGTCACGTACACGGGCAAGGCTTCTCCCGGTGCATCTCCGTAAACACTAATAGATATAGACAGCTCCGCAAAGTACGGTTAGAGCAGCCCAGCGCCGCACTTTCTCCGGAGTCCTCGTGCTTCTCGCGCGGATAATCCCCGAAATTTTCACGCTCATCAATTAGGTCTGGTGACACCATTATCCCCCGGTGCGCAAGCAGCTCCCATGTGGAAAATGGAGCGGCGGCGGCGAGAGCTGCAGAGCTTCCAGAAGTGCTTTAAAACAAAGGATACGTGGAATTTCCGAGCAAGGAAAACGCAATCACGCGGGCTAGGACACTACAGGAGCGGTGATTGTTAAGCTAGATTGGACTCGGTGCAAGCTCTAGCGAACTCTGCAACGCGATTGGCAGCCAGTACAAATTGCACCGATATGTCTCGCCGCGGGAACCACATTCCACGAATTCCAAGGGCTAGCGACCGTCTTGAGGACACGATGTGCATCGGGATCGATTGACTTCGAGACCAGTGTCCGACGAACTCTCCACGAATTCCGCTGTTCTCGACAACTAGTAGTTCATAGTCGGACCGAGTAGATATCACGAGGAACCGGTTGTTCATCATCTCTCATATGCGGCTCGATAGGAATCGCAACAGGACCCTTTCCCCGCCATTGGAAACTTTCTATCCATGATGAGGTCAGCTGGCGGGCGGCTAGACCGTCCCGCTTGCATCCGGATACGCATACACGTCGGATTAGTGCCTGTACGCATCATTCTCTACTCGTCCGAAATAGCGTCCCTTCTGTGTCCTTCCCCGAAGTCTGACCGCTCAAAGCCGAGTCGGGAGCTCGTAAATTCCACGAGGGAGGGGGAAAGGCAGCTTGGATTAATATCACGACAGACAAGCATGAGGTCAGCGAGATAAATATTGCCCCGACTTGTTTTCTGCAGAAGAGGCTTTACGCAAGGCCTGCTTTAAATTCATTCCGCTATGCAAATATGTCAAGGGACCAGGGACGTCGAGTTCAAAATGCATGAACACGCGCTAGGGTCTTCGCGCCGATCCCGCATTCGCGCTGAGGACCATAAAATTATCATGGAGCTTTTAGACTAGCACATTTTATGTGACCTTATGAGAGCTCGTATTCAAAGAGCAATCGATCGGTGGAATCCGTCCGTTGGAATAATTCGGAGTTTCTGTCATGTGGTCACGTGCGTCTGACTGAGCCGAAAGTTTTTGATCGTCAGTGATCGGGAAGCATAGGACATCATCAATTTGGCAGTTTGTGTGATCTGTGTCTCCTTGAATCTGGAGGGAACGTGCGTCTGATCGAAGGGGAAATTCGACATCTGATTGGCAACTTGAGCCAGATGAATATCATATACTGCCGAGTGATCAGGAAGTTTTCGCAGAAATTCCCTCGAGGGAGAGGGAATTTTTCCCAGGAGCGCGAATGTTTCTCTTAGACCCGTTGCTTATCTCATTCGAAGCGAAAATCGACGTGAGCTGGATATTTTACCCACTGACTGACTCAGTGCGGGACAAACACGACACGCAGAGAGGAGCAGTCGAGTCAGTCAGCGAGACCTTTGTATAATACGCCGCTCCTCACGTCCATAACGATTCTCCTTTCCCTCGAGAGCACCGGGACTTGAATGGGCGCCCCCAGAAAAATGCCTCCGCCGTTATTAGGGATCATTGAGCTTCTTATTGTCGTTCTTTCTCTCAAAGGAGAATGCCTTCTCCATTCAATTTACACCATTAACATTTTTCTCACATGCCTCTCAAAGTCGTCAAGTTCCGTTGAGATCGGTACGATCCTGTCGACCGGAACGGAAGAGGAGCTTTGAGAAGAAAATGGGCGTTTCCAGCCTCGTGCTCAGACTCTACTCTTACTCCCGAGCGATGACTTCATCCGGAGACTCGAATCACTTGCTCCCTCGTCGGCGTCCGCGGTGCTCTCGATCTTGAGCAGTCTTTTGTGCCTGCTCACGAGAAAACATCGAGTGGGGCCGCCCGCAGTCCGAGCATATATTTCGTGTGCCTCCCCGTGTTCGCGGACAAATCCGGTGCTATCCGTGAGAACCCCCAGCGGTCGTTGGAGTCTGCCAGTCTATCCGAGCGAAATCCCCGAACGTCGGACCGTCAGTATACAGTCGATTCCCATGCCAGCGGATTTCGCGCCATGCGCGCATCGGGATCCGCACAGCCCAGTTTTGCCTTTCTCGTCTCGACACGGTGCCCGACGCGCCGAGCGTTGTGAGCTCTGCTGCCATCGGGGCAG